TCCGGGCCGGGGCCTCTCTTTTAAGTAAAGGAATGAACGAAACTGCTTCCCCCAGAAGACAGCCCATTCCTGAGGTCCCCAGGCCCGGTGGGTCTGGCCGGGCCGTTTCTGTCTCAACCCTGCCCCCTTGTGGAGAACCTAGGTGCAGCCTCCCCACCCGGGCAAGCCGAGCTCCGGTACCATCTCTACGGTTCCCCGGGTGTGCTCGCTCCGGTGCTTGCTCGGGGCGTGCCAGGCACGGTGCGGGAAAGGGCAACCCATCCCTGAAAAGCCCCACGAGGGGTTCCCGTCTCCTCCTCTGGGGGCTCTTGTTTGCTCGGGCCCAACGCCAGTACAATCCTCACCTCTACCCGGGTCTGTTGTGTGTCTCTGTTCTGTGACTCCCTCTGGGTAAGGACCACGTCTTGTTCATCTGAGTGTTCATCACGGGAGATGCCTAGTGACGGTGTGCGGTGCAGGAATGAATGAATGAATGAATGAATGAGGGCGTAGTGCAGCATGGTGATTACAAGCGAGGGGCCCTCTGGGGTTGTAGACCGCTGCCCAGCTGTGAGACTTTTCCTTAAGCCCTTTACGCCCGTTTCCTCATCTGTGAAACGGGGATAGTACTGTGGCCGCTCGTGAGGGCTGCTAGAGGACATTGTCATCACCGCTTTACAAAGGAACAAGTGGGCACGGGCCCAGGTCGCAGAGCCGAGAGTGGCAGGGGCGCTCGGGAGCGGGGGTCCCCTCACCGTGGGTGCCATGCTGCTTTCTCCCCATCCCAGGTCCGAGTTCACTGAAGAACCACACGCACTCCCGCCCGCTGCTCCCATGCCCACAGCCACGTGTTTTTGTAAAACTAAATGAAAGTCCAGTTATATTTACGCGTTCCCAGGTCCATTTTCAGAGAGGTGGAAAACACCGTAAACTCTCTACCTCCTGCTCTCCTTTAAACAGCCTCTCAAAAATGCATGCGCGGCACTTCCCACAGGGGCTGTAATGTTTCTCCTTCCCAATTTTAATCTGATTAAATTTATCCAATAACTGCGACTAAGGGGGTCGATTTACTGATTTCATCTGCCTGCTGACGTCCACCCTTGTCCAGAGCGTTAGGGATCTGGCACCGTCTTAGTCTTAAGCTTTCTCTGGCTTCTCCTAGACAATATTCTCCCAGCTCTGCGGATGGCTCCCCGGCCCCCGCATCTACCTCATTTCCCTCTTAACTTTTGCTGTTGGAAAAAATAAAAAGAACGATGCAGGCCCCACATGGCAGTGAGTTTGCCAAGGTCGGTTTCTCCATCTGCAGAATGGGCACAGCCACCCCAAGGTCAAGTGGCTCACGGTGGACGAGAGGACACCCAGGGCTGTCTGGAAGGGGTTCAAGACTTGCAGTCTGCTCCTGTCTGTGGCCGGAGGTGCAGGGAGACGCTCCCATCCCCAAGGAGAGCAGGAGCCTGGTAAGAGCCTCAGGGGGTCCCCAGGGCCCAGCCAAGCCTCCGGGGGCTTCTGGAAAGAGCCTTGGCCCCAGAAGAGAGCCCCCCGTGGGAGTCTCTGGGGAGGTGTACTGACGACACAGCACTTCCTCCAAACCTGCCTGTGTCACACCTACCTGAGTTAACCTTTGCGCTCTATGGGGTATGTCCAAGCACCTATTACTTAAACAGGAACGGGATTGTTGCTATTAGTTTAAAAACAGAGAACCACAAGAGTGATATTCTCATTGTCCACCAGAGATGAGGACGTGGCTGAGGGGCCTGAGTGCCACAGCCCCGTCACTCTGCACAGGCACCACAGCTCGGGGCCCAGGAGCCCCTAGAGCAGCCTGATCAGGTAGCAGAGGCCAGGGTGACATCGTGGGGTGCCCCGTGGAGCTGCAGCTGTGACATGAGGCTCTACACATTTTCTTGGGCCAGGTGTGGGGTTCTGGAGTGACCAGAGGCACACTTCCCAAATGGCCCCAGATCACCCATTCGAGGTCAGCACCAGTAAGTGCCACAAGCACACCCCCTGCCACCCACGGTGAGTCCAGCGCTGCCTCACGCTGATGGCTGGTCTCCGGGCATGTGGGAGGGACAAGCGTGCTGGGACCTTGGGACAAGGGACTCGCCGAACAGAAGGTCTGTGGTCTCTTATCTCAGTTCTCTGGCCGAGACGACACTTCTGTTCCTTCTAAGATGAAAAGGAGAATGCATGTCTTGATGACAATGGTCCATGTACCAAAGCAAAGGTCGAGTGGACATGCCATGCCGCTCTGGGCATTCAAGGTGGTGATGTCGTGTGTGACTGTGTGTGTAAGAGAGAACGTGTGTGAGTGTGAGAGAGCTTGCAGGAGTGTGCAGGTGAGGTCGGGGAGGCTTCCCACCACCAGATGGCGCCAAGAGCAAGGGGCCGGCTCAGGGGACCCAGAGCCCATCTCCACTGTGCTGGGCGAGGGTGATGGGGACACAGCTGCCTCCCTCGACCCAGCGGGCCTCCTCTGCGATTCCTTCTGGGGGTTTCTCACTTGGCATGCTGACAGCAGGGTGAGCAGCGCCCATGTGGAGGGGCGTGCCCACCAGGTGACAGCCCGTCCAGCTCAGCTCGGCGTCCAGTCCCCCAAGGCCTGAGCGGGGCACCATGGGGCTGGGGGATGTACGACAAAGAGGAGCCGGGGAGTCGTGCTTTTGAGGGCCCTGCAACAGCGCTTTCGCGTACACAGTGGCCTTCACCCTCCCCATGACTCCTGAGGGCGCATTATTGTGGCCGTGCGTGCCACAGATGGAGATGCTGAGGCTCGGAACGGTCAGGAGGATTGTCCGAGGTCACCGAGACAGAACCCACTTCTGCCTGTCTCAGGTCCCACGTTCTCTCCTTGGGTGGAGGCCAGAGATTCTGCTACATGCTCTAGCGAGGAAGGCAGCTTCTCTAACGTGGCCTGGGGAAGGCACGGAAGGCTTCCTGGAGGAGAGGATTTTTTTTTGTTTTTTAAATTTCGTCTGCCAAATGTGTGTCCTGAAGGCCTAGGGACTGGTCAGAAATGGTCCGTGGGTGCTCACGAAGCTCCAGCCTTCCACTGTCGCAGACTAAAAAGGAAAAGTCTGCTTCTATGGAGTCAGAATGAGGTAGCTGTGTGTGTGTGTGTGTGTGTGTGTGTGTGTTCAGTCACTTTTAATGATTTGGAAGTTTAGGATTTTGTTGTGTCATGTTGTGTTTTTGAGGAAAAGCAAACAAGGGCAGACAAACGGCTGCTTCTCAGGTGAACGTGGACCGGCACTGCCAACCCCCAGAGTAATGTGCTCCCACCAGCAAACCTGCCTAAAACCAAGCCTAGAGGTGACCAAAACTCAACTCGAAGTTTGCCTTTTTGACTTTCAAGGGCTTTTATTTGTCGAATCCACATTTACTGCACTTGTGATGTGCCAGTCTCAGAACCAAGGGTCCAGCCAATCCGGCATCTCCACCTGGACCATCTCTCCCAACTTCTGGTCTCAGCAGCTGGGGGAGCCCCTGGGAGAACCAGCGTTCTGCGTACAGCCTCGTGTTGGAATGAATCGCCTTGCACGTCTGCCTCTGTGTGAGCTGTGGGTCTCTCAAGCACAGGAAATTTTTAAATTCCCCTTCAAAATTCCTAAAACTTGAAAGAGACTAAGAACGGTCTCTGCAAATGTTTGTCGAGCGACTGAAAGAACCCAGAGGAGGCAAAGGGGGTAGAAATAAGAGTTGAGCTGCCTGTGGCTTTTCCCAGACGTGGACAGTGTCATCCTGGACACTGTCCCTCTCTGCCTCTTTTGGTCTCAGTTTCCTGCTTGAGAAAAGGAAGAATCCGTCTGAATATCTCAGCATCCATTGTTTAAAGAATGAAAGACAGCTCTGTGAGTTCCAAGCGCGGGCTCCGCTGCTTCTAGATGGAGGGGCGGCCTGCGCCCCCACCCCCAACTCCGGAGTCACGGTCGAGAAGCCCGGACAGGGGCCACCCTGGCCGGGGAGGCTAGAAGCAGCTCTCCCGGCCTGGGTTTCCGGTCAAGGAGGCAGCTGAGGGGGCGGAAAGGTGATCGGATCTCAGAGATACAGCCGGCTGGAAGCCCCTGCACGCACAGACACCCCGAGCCATTCTATCTGCCCACGGGACGGCTCTTTGGGCCTCATTTCCCCTTCCCAGCTGGCCGTCTGTTGCGTCCATCATATTTGCCATGATAAAGATGAACCTGTTGTCTGGGGGATGGGAACGGCCATGTGGGGAGAAACGCGGGTCGGGGAGTGGAGCAGGGTCCATGGCCCTCAGTGCAAAATAAAAATAGTCCTCGCCGCAAGGGCTTGTGCTGGCGACGGGAGCAGAAAGCCCCTCCCACGGGGCGGGGCGGGGGCGGGGGCAGCCGCAGGAGCCGCGAGGTTGTGCGCCCACCTACCTACCGCCACCCACTGCAGCCCTTTCCTCGTGCTCAGAGGGGGAAATAATAACAACAAACGTAATAATTAATACTAATACTAATAATAATACTAATAATAATAATAGTAGGTCAGCTGGGTGACGCCCAGTTTTAAATATGAGTCAGCTGGCTCCGTGAGCCCTTAGGGACCCTGGGCAGAGTAGAGGGTGGGCCTTTGGGACATAGAGAAAACAGCAGTGGGATCGGGGCCAGACTCACAGGTGACCCGTCAGAAGGCACTTCCTCCTCAGCTCCTGCACCGGTTCAAGGAGGTGACTCACCAGGCTCCCTGGCTGTGGGATGAGGGTGGAGCTGCAGGAGGCTTAGCGTTGCCGGGGCTCTGAACTGGAATCTGGGCCCCACCGCCTACCAGCAGGGGCAGGTGAGGGGGGCGGATTCCACACGTGGCTTAGTTTCTCTAAACTCCAGGACGCTCTGTCCTGTTTGTTTTATAGACGAGAAAGATGTCTGGCTATCCAAAGCGTGGTGGAAAAAACACAATTTAATGTGAACCTACCGAACACCACGAAGATGGGAAGGTGATGGCAGGCCCTATGGGCTTAGAAACTCCTGCCCAGAAGCCCCCCTTTATCTCTGCCCTTTCCCCCGCAGGGCCTCTCTCCAGCCCCCACGGCCATGGCCTTCACCCCGGCGCCACTGGAGGACGCATCCTCACGCCCCCAGTTCTGCAAGTGGCCATGCGCGTGTCCGCCGTCCCCGCCCCGCTGCCCGCTGGGGGTCAGCCTCATCACAGACGGCTGTGAGTGCTGCAAGATGTGTGCACAGCAGCTCGGGGACAACTGCACAGAGGCTGCCGTCTGCGACCCGCACCGGGGCCTCTACTGTGACTACAGTGGGGACCGCCCGAGGTACGCAATAGGAGTGTGTGCACGTAAGTGAGACCTTCCCTGCCTTCCGCCGGCCCCCAGCACCCAGCCCCGGGCCAGGGCCCCTCACACACAGCTCCCCCAGGCCAGGCTCCTGTTCTGCAAGAGGTACCCCACCCCCAGTTAGCGATTAGGGGCCGGAGGCCGGGCGCCTCCTGAGGGTGGCTGAACCTGGCCTCGTGCTCTTTCCTCGGTCCTGGAGGCTCGGAGGCGCATCCCTGGCCAACTTCAGGGCAGAGGGAGCTGCCAGGAGAGACCTCAGCTGGTTTATTGTCTTAGTGGCGGGGCCCTCTGAGGGATGCCCACGGCCTCCCGGGGGCACTGAGACCCTGCGGCACTCCAGATATCTCACGCGTATTGTAAATTAAAATAATATATATTTTTAAAATTTAAGTCTTAAAAGAATAAACGCCAGCAGCCCACAACCACGTCCCCTCACCACCCCCGGCCCCTCAGCTACTATAGTTGTAACTTTTCGGCCCTCTCTTCTGCTAGTTACGACTACATGATGCGTATCTACTGCTGTAGCTGGATTGGCTTAAAAATATCAATTTTGGATAATGTATTAGTGATCTTATGTGATAGCTGATGACCTAATGACTTAGCTCCTCAACACCACTTGACACCTCCCCGTTGTCCAATATCATTGTCATATTCTTGTTTAGACGGTAATCATTATCCGTAATCATCATCATTTATATTATTAGCATGTAACTATCGTTTGTGACAGCACGAGCTAGTTCGCTTGTTTGAATTTCCTTTCTCATGAAGCCTTTTGTTTTTCCTGGAGTTTCTATTTGCCTTTGCTTTTTTTTTTCCTCTCTTGGTCTTTCTAATGTTCGCAATCCTCATGTTGGGGCTGGGGGGGAGGCTGTCATTGTTGCTGTTTTTTGCTCTGCACAGTGCTCCATCATTTCCTTTTTCGTTCCCAGAGACCTCCTTTCTGGGACTTCCTGATCTCCTGCTTTTATCTGGACTGGTGTTCGTTTAACCTGATTCATCTAAGCATTCATCCAGGCTACACAGCCCATCATGATGAAGAGAAGATACTGAGCATCGTGATAGAGCAGAGCCTAACTCCCAGGACGCTACACAGAGCCTCATAAGCCCGAGAACCCCTTTCCTCCCTTAGTGCTGAATCCAGACGCCCCCACAGCTGTGACCCCATATACCCCACCTCACGTATTTTCACACAGCATGGTCTCGTCCTCAGCTAACCCACTGTATCTCCTGAGGAGCGTTAGGCGCATGATTCCAAGTCAGACGACCCTGTCTCAGCCTCACGGGTAATTCCTGAGTGCTTTCTGCTCTTTCTTCGTTGGTTCATGCTTCAACTTTCATCCCACGTCATCTGTCTTTAGCTTTCCAAGGAACCACCTTGGTTCTCCCACCCTTCCACTGTTTGTCTCTTCTTCAGACTCATCGGCAGACCCCAAAACTGTGTTCAAAAAGAGTGTGCGGCACCGCCTGCTCAGAATCTGCCCACATTGTTGGTTAGAAACATTATTCCTGAGCTCACCCGCACTTACCGAATATTCTCCGGAAGTGGGGGCGGAGCCTCCATCTTTAACAAGCTTTGTAGGTGATTCTCGTGCACCCTCAAGTTTGAGACTGACTGCTAATGTACAGTGGTCCCCCTTTATCCACGGGGCATGTGTTCCAAGACCTATAGTGGATGCCCGAAATCACGGGTAGTGCCAAACCCTAAACACACTGTTTTTTCCTATATATACTTCCCTATGATTAAGTTTATTAATTAGACACAGTAAGAGATTAATAATAATTAATAATAAAATAATCATAACAATGTACTGCAATGAAAGGTATGTGGATGTAGTATGACTATGTAAAATGAGGCTTCCTTGATCACTGTGATAACACAAGTGTTGATCTGATAACTGAGATGGTTGTTAAGTGACAAATGGGCAGGGGGAGCAAACAGCGTGGATATGCAGGAGAAAGGGGTGTTTCACATCCCAGGTGGGATGGAGTGAGACCCTGTTATTCAGAACAGCCTCCGATTTAAAACTTATGAACTGTTTCTTTCTGGAATACTCCATTTAATATTTTCAGACCGCGGTTGACCGTAACGAATCCGTGGAAAACAGAACCGCGGATAAGGGGGCTACTGTATACAGTCAGTCATATGCTCTGTCCCCACACCCAGGTAAGGAAACCTGGCCGAGCCTTCCTGGGCTACAGTTCCCTCCGGTTACATGAGAATGTCTCCTTTCTTTCCCCTTTAACAGCTGTTCCTCAAGGTCATTAAAAAGGTAATTCAGTTCACTGTGATTACACTAATCTCTAAAGCCATACTGACTTCTTACTATGTGCCAGGCACCACGCCTTTACAGACATTCTCTCACGGACACAGAGCCCGTGCAGGCCCTGGAGTGGCCTCTCCTGCCTGCCCTCCCCCACCGGGGCCTGGAAAACCACCTTCCCAGCCCCCCACCCCCTCTTCCTGTCTCAGGTCCTGCGACACTCACTGCAGCCTCTTAGCTCCCCGTCACCACGAGCCTCCGTGTGCTCCTTCCTCTCATTTGGGGGAGAAAAAACAACAACAAAAAAACAACAAAAAACCCCACGGTGGCTGCGGGAGATTTCAATAAGTTTACACTTGCCAAGGATTCTCTGGTCATATAGGTTTGAAGACACTGGACTAAGGTTAAGCAAGTGTTACAGAACTCAGAGGCTCTAAATGTTCACGTTCATTGTCACATTCCCAAAGAGGGGCTAGCATAAGGAGCCTTTTCTTTTCAGACCTATTTTCACAGTGAACTCTTCTGTCCAGGAAGATTTTAACCCGATCGATACAAACACACACGTCCATACACACACCTACTCGCACAGACACACACATCACGTGCAAAGATGTGTACACACACACACACACACACACACATAACTCGCTAGTATTCGACTGAACATCTTCCCAGAAATGCTGTCATACTGTCTGAGTTCATGAGACCTTAGAGAAGAAAAGCAGAAGGTCCAAGTTCTGACAGTTACAGAGAGGAAGGGGCCTCGGGGCCAGAGGGAAAAAGAAAAAGGACTAAATAGACAAATTCATCAAACAGTCAATTCAACCAATGGACGGTCCCCAGACAGGCTAAATCTGTCCTTGGAGATGTGCTCAAACTAAGGCGGGACGAACCAGGTAATAAAAATGATCAGCCGCGACGCTGGCACAGGGAGAATGATGGGGACCGTAGCGAACCGGGAAAGGCACAAGCTCTGGCTGTCAGAGGTGGCCGGTCCTGAGAACCAGCCACTGCGGCCAGGCAGGAAAGTAAGTTTAGTCTTGTTCATTCTGCTCAGTTTTCAAGAAAATCCAAAAATCCAGATTTGGGGATGATTTGTCAATGATGACAACACACTCAAAAAAGATTTCTTTAAATACTCTGTGTGCCAAACTAAATACTTCTGCGGGCAGAGAGTGACCTCTGAATTATAGTCCTTGGCTATTTTGGTTGTACAAACACCAGTCTGCATTTACTGCAGCTGGGTCAGTGCGGTTTGCTGGAAGGATTGTGGAATTCACGGGCAGACAGACTTGGGTTTTGAATCCTCGCTCTGCCACTTGCCGGCTACGTGACCTTGGGCATGTTGTTTAAGGAGCTTGATCAAACCAATCTCGTGTGGTTGCTGAGAATAAACAAGGAAACATACTAAAGCCTCAAATGCGATTGGCTGCTACGGGTCACTGACTTACTCGCTTTAACTTCCCCGTGTAGAGGTCATCTTAGCCCTGTCCAGGGTCATCCTCAGTGGAGAGGCAGTCGAGTTCAGGCTCAGACTCCTCAGTGAGGGAGTATAAAACTCATGCGTGGTCTTTGGAGCTAGACAACCTAGTTTCTCATCCCAAAGCTATAACTAACTAGTATGATGACTTTAGACTAGCTACTTAAGCTTTTATGTGTCACTATCCTCATCAATGTGACAAATAATGCCTACCTCTTGGAGTGGCTGGGATGTTAAGTGGCTGATACATGGTAGAAGCCCAATCAAGATTAGGGCTCGCCCCACTTCCCGTCCATCCATCCCTCCATCCATCTATCCATCAATCCATCTACTGATGCATTCATACAGTGAACACAAGTCAGGGATCATACAACATGAGGGTTACGATAAGGCCTGGCCCACGCTCTTTGCTTCCCTGTAGCTGACAGTCCATTAGGGGTGTGGGTGAAGGGAGTGAAGGCCCAGATGGCAGAGCAAGGACACTCGCGCTCCGGAAGTCCTCCAGTAAGACGTCAGCTCACCAGGCCATGCCTGGACTTACAGGTCTAAGATGAGATAGGAGATGGTGAAGGAAACTCTGCCAGCTTCACCAGGAGCTGGTCCTTCGATTAGAAAGAAAGTGAATGAGGAGGGGCTAGAGGCCACCGATGGGCCCATCCACAGCCGTCATACACAGCATCCATCCCTGCTCTCCTAGCCTGGGTGGGCAGGCCAGTCGGAGCCACTAGCACCGTAACCACAACCCGCGGCTCCACCCAAAGCTCGCAGGGGATTGTGGGCAGTTTCTAGAAGCAATGGTTCTCGATCATGGCTGCAAACTGGATTCACCTGGGAAGTTTAAAAAATACCAAGATCAAAAAATACTGAGTCCCAGGTCCACCCTCGTATTCTGGGGCATAGTGTGGGCATCAGAACTTTAAAGAGCTTCCTTGCGGTGGCCCTTGTGGCGAGAAACCCCTGTGCCAAGGGCTCTGAGCACTGGGCACTGCCCGCTCCATCCAAAGCTCCCACACACAGGGTCAGACACGGGACTTCAGCTCATGCCGTCTACCTTTCCACCAACACGCAGGAACGCATGCATGTACCCGCACAGGAGCACACACATGTACCCCACAGGAGCACAGGCATGTGCCCATAGGGGAACACACTTGTACCATGCAGAAGCACACCTATGTGCCCACACAAGAACACACATGTACCTGCACAGGAGCACACACGTGTGCCCATGCAGCAACACACATGTACCACGTGGGGACACACG